CCCCCCAATTTTTTTTTTTTTTTTTTTTTTTTTTTTAGTTTTTGTTTGAGGGGGTGGGGCTGTGTGGCATACTGCGTAGCCACACGGGCCCTGCAGGGCCCGTCCCGCTGTCGAGTGCATCGGCCCTCGCGTGAAAACGAGGGCCCTCCCAGCCATGTCACGCAGGAGTCAACCTAAAAACATAACTTTTAGAGACAACTCGGGAACGACGCATACTGTTCCGTGAACCGCCGAGACGGATGCGGTTGCTTCGCTCCCTCGCCACTCTAGCCGGGTGCGCCAGCTATACTTCCCACGGTCCCCTACGACAGGACAGGTTCCCGCGGGGCATAAGCTTGCATCCCTAAGGGGCTGTCACCACCCTTAGGGCGTATCCCTACCGAGCTACTGATCCAAGTGCGAAGGCTTTTTAAATGCAATCGCAGAGGTAGATCAGTCGAGGGCGTTTGCTCGTCTCACTACAATATAGGAATTGTTTGACTGAACGCCGAATGGACCCGAGCGTCGTTCGTTCCCTGGGGCGCTGATCTCCCAAGTACGAAGCGTACACCGGTCGACTAGGACAGTCTCAACCAAGCGTGAAAACAATCCTTAGTCCCTAACAATCAAACAACAAAATCCCCATTCCTTAAAACAAAATCACACAATCCAAAACGTTGACTTGATGAGCTGGTCTGCCAAAATGTCTCCTTTCAACCTGTATGAGTGAAAAATTTTTATATAGTCGCCCCAAGATTATTAATTGAAGAACAAACTAGGACTGACCTTCCTATGAAAATATCTGCAAGTAAATACCGTTGCTACCATGCAGATCAACAAGTGATCTGGTTCCTGGTCGATGTTTGAACTCTCGGTTCAACCATACCTCAGTGCTATATGTGACTACTTGGAGAAGCGAGTGACAACTTTTGTTGGTCGCTGTGTCCTCCTGGTCAATAATTACTCTTTCTGTTCCACGAATGATAGAGTATTCATCTCTAACGCCAATTTACGCAACGCAGAAATATTTCATCTTCCACTGCTTTGCTTGACAACTTTTTCAGACGTTCGCTTTTCACTTTATCCAGCTTATTTTTATGCGAACGATTACCCCTCAATGCATAAGCATGATAGTGAAATCATCGGGGTAATCCGAATAGTATCCATCCGGCATTCCTAACTACATAAAGGGTTTTGTTTTTATTTTTAGATTACCTCGTGAAACCATAAGTTATATGGTTTCCTCAACAGGACTGAGTCCATGCGAAGTGTTTTCTGAAATC